AAAAGAATGTTATACATGAAATCAAAGTCTCAATCTGAAAAAGTATGTCGTCCGAAATCTTCAAATAGTAACACTCAGGCAGCCTCGCCAATGGATTGCACCGACGAGTAATTTTTTAATTCCAACATATTCTCATCAGTCTGCAGCAGCCTTGGGCAAATTAACAAGTAAGGTTAATAAAATAGGAGGTAATTTATCTTTATATACTTTTAATGCAAGAAGTTTATAAAAATATAAACTTTATGACTTAAGACTCTTACTAATTGATAACCCAAATAGTATTTTCTGTATCAATGAAACGTGGTTGGATGACTCTATTGATAATCGCGAACTAAACTTTGACGGCTTTATAGTATAACGCAAGGATAGAACAATAAATAGTTCAAATATTCGTGGAGGTGGGCTTATCATGCTTGTTCCTGATTATCATAAATTTATAACCTTCGATGATTATGTTTGCTCCTCTTTTGAATCTTTGATAATTAAAATTTATCTTAATAACAGAAATATTTCCCTTTTAAATGTATATCGCCCATCGGGCTATGGAAGCAAATTCACTAGGGACCTTTACAACTTGTTATTCAAATTAAAATTAATTGGTACCGATTATGTAATTATTGGCGATCTTAATATGCCAAACATAGATTGGGAAAATAGTTGTTTAAAAAGTAGCAATAAATTTGAAGAGGACTTTCTAAACTTTTGTACCTATGTTGGTCTAGAGCAGCATGTTAAGGTCGCCACTAGGTACAACACTATATTAGATGTTGTGTTAGCTACCCCTACCTCTCTTGTTGGTAGTATTAATATTAGAGTCTTGGAACCTTTTTGTAATAGTGATCACAATATCATTCATGCTTCATTAAAATTAGACCGTTATTCACCTCCCTCGAGATTTTCTAGAAGTTACAGTCACTGTAATTATGAAATCTTTAACTCTATCTTCGCAGAAATAAACTGGGATTTCTTATTCTATTTAACCCCCTCTATCGATGTTAATTTTCTTAGTAGCATCATTTTATATCTAATATACCAATATATCCCTTTAAGAAAAACGAACATTAGGTCGATTCCCAATTTTCTAAAATCCCTTAAAAAAAATGTCAAGAAGCTTTATAATAAATATCAATTAACCAAATTGCCAAATGATCTCTCTGCATATAAAGAAAGCTTAAAAAAGTTTCCGTAGCACCATTCATAATTACTTTTCAAATAAAGAAGAACAACTTTTAAATATTGATAGAAATTCTTTCTGGACCTATATCAAAAGAAAATTTGCAAATCCGCGTAAACAATTAATTCTGCAACATAATGATAATGTGATCACCTCTGATATTGATATTGCAAATGTATTTAATCAGTATTTTTCTAGTGTGTTTATTGAGGATAATACTCATACTTCCTGTTTTAACGTAAATCGAATTTGTTGCACTTCTCTCTGCGAGGTTGAAATAACACTACTGGATGTTTATGATGCCTTAAATAGACTTAAGCCGTCCATTTCAGCTGGTCCCGATAACATTCCACAAATAATTTATAAAAAATGCG